ACCTGGTAACCGTTTCATCACCGAGTTTGAAATATCTACAATTAAAATAATTGTATTAATAAAAATAAAAATATAAAATAATATTTATAAATTTTATAAACAAACCAATTAAATTAAGGCAATAGGTTCTGATTGATTACACTTTTTCACTTTTGTATCAATGCAAATTTTTTTTTAAATAATCAATAAGAATTTGCACGTTGAACTTTCAAAGTGTAAAAATATAGATAGAGTACTATAATATAAGTATTCGTATCCGCCATTTTTAATCTTTTCTCCATTCTTTCTCTCTTCAATCTTCAACTTTCTCTCTTCTCTCTTCAATCTTCTCAACTCAGCGACAGAATGGAGAGAGAGCAAGGGATTAGGAAAAGGACTAAAAATAGCGAATGTGAATACTCTACCTATTATAACCTTAATATGGGCAACCAAACTATACGTTCCAAAATTATCTGTTAGCACCGACGAGACAGCTAGGATGTATTATAGTTAGTGGATTTATCTGATATCAGAAACAATAGACATCTTACAATCTAATTTTGAATATAATTTTCGCATTTATGTAATTCACTTGTTAAAATTATCTGTAAGCAATAGGGGGAGCCTTTATACTTTGATATGTTTACTTCATCGATATTTTTAAATAACATTTATGATGAATTTCATGGACGCAACGAAGATTGGAAAAGACTATGTTTTCAATCTCACAAAAATGTTTTAAATCTTGTTGTTATGGGAAAGTAGATATAATAGAATAAATGTTACCGATTATTAGTTCAGATTATGGATGTGGATTTAAATCTTACACCACTCTTCTGATTTGTTCATGATATTTGGCTTCATTAGAGATAATTTGTGATAAAATATTTCTAATAAACTGCTTATCCGTCGAACCTCCGATTCAACATATGTTCCTGTAATATAATTACAAAAAATACACAAATGGAATATTGAATGGAAGAAATGTATATACGATAGCGAAAATGAAATATACGTGTTTGAAAACAAGTTCAGTCGATGTTATTAAGTTAATTTGACCATCATACATCTTTTTATGTAGCAATTTTGTCACTTAATTTTCTATTTGCATTATGTCATACTTTAATATTATATCAAATCCTTTTCAATAATGCTCAATATAAAATTACCAAATTTAATACATATAAATAAAAAAAGTCCTTGATGATACATGAAAAATTAAACATGACGAAAAGTTATAAGATGGCGAGTAAATTTCTGAAAAAACACAATTTTCCTAATGGATAATACAAGCATTTAAAGTAATATTTAATAAATGTGACAATATGACAATATACTTACAAATTGTTTTTCTCATATTGATATTCACTTCCAATTGATTTTCGCACTGCAAGAACTCTTTCAGCGTCATTAGAGACAATGGAGGTAACAGATCTTGTACAATCTCACTTCATCCTGCATTCCCCTCTTTTAAAGCTTCAATAGCGTACATTTGTCTGAACAATCTTTTCAATTCCTTACGGATATAATCTCTGCATTCGCCTGTAATGATATGAAGAAATTGCAACATAAAAACTGAATTAACATTAATAACTATTAATATTTTAATAATATATTAATATTTTAATAAAGTCAAATCTGTCTATTATCATAATAATCATTACCAGCATTGGCTATTTGCCAAAATTTTTGTTTTTTATTATTTATTATAGGAACAAGAGAGTGAGTTTATGATGTGCATTTACTTAAAATAATTTTTATGTATTTTTATGTATTTTTGTTTAAAATATAATACAATATAAAATATAAATATAAAAATATAATATTAAGAAAAAGACGAACTATTAACAAATCAGTAATGTTCCTCTGTAAAAAATTATTTGCTTACCACAGCAATTATTATGATTTCTCGTTGAGGATTCATTTTCTATACCATCGAATCGTGGTGAATCAAATAAGTTTGAAAATCAAATATTTTATTAATATGTATATTACATACAAAATAAACAATAATAAACAAAAAGCATTAAAGCCATATGCTGTTCTTTATTGTGAAATATCTCGATTCATATTTGTTAATAATTGGCTTCACAGACAGCTGAAAATCAAATATTTTATTAATATTTTATTAATGTATACTACATATTAATAAAATATTTAATAAATATAGCATTGGGAAATGCTATTGAAAGTCCTTATTGTAATTTACTTCTATTCCTACTTAGCAATATTACAGAAACAGCAGTACACAGATTGTAATTGTAAATTTTAAAGATATAAGTAATAGATTCATTTTTTTCCTAATAAATTTTTGATATTGTGTATATACATTGATATAAACTGTGGGATTGTGAATATAGAACTTAACCAACCTTGTATATCAGATAAGTGATGTTCATTGTGTCGCTCCTGATGATAATACATTGACTTGACTTTCCCAGAGCTGATAGATGAGATGCCGGGAATTTTTATCGTAGATTTTTGTTGCTTTTCTACAGAAATTTAAATAAAGTTACAAATAGGAGATACATATATGGCACTGTTGTGATATGAGATAATTATTTTTCATATTTTTCGAATCGTTGATCTGTTTCGAAGTAGAGTTTACTGCACAACAAACAAAAATATACACAATTAATCATGAAAGATTTTAAAATATTATGAAATAATTAGCTTCATCTAAACTTACTTGTTGATAGTCTGGCAAGAATGCACGCTTACTATTTAATTGCGATTGTGATGCCTTAATCGTTCCAATTGTAATAAAGTTCGCCTATTTCGTTGACGTTTCGACAACTCAGAAAATTGTTTGGACATTTTCAGGTTTTCTAGTTATTTAATCATAAATAATTAACCTATACAATCCGGCTCTGACTATATACGCATTATTCCAATTTTAAAATGTCTTTAATTAATAATTAAATACATAAATAATATTTTACACAAAAATATATTACTATAGTTGCACTGATGTTCCCAAATCTTTAATAATAAGTCTTTTATAATATTAATTCTATTCTTTAATTATTAACAGATTTCCGGCCGCTATTTCTGCAATCTCCATTTATTAGTTGTTGTATACTGCATCGTGCGCAATCACGTGCGCGTACATTGCAACGACATCTTACGAATATTTTATGTAGACTTTTTGACAAGTCGACTTAAAGTCGACCTAAGTCACAAAGACTTAGAGTCGACTTTGTGCTGTTAGGATTGTATTCGTTTATGATCGGTTAAATCTCGGTCAAATCATTTCCTGTATGAATTTTGGCCCGTATGAATTAAGTTTTAAGCATTATCAACACATTTTTGAACAGCGAGCCAAGAATCTTTATTTATTGCTATATTGAATTGCTATATTGAATATCATTTTTCAGTATAATCAGAGTCTGCAGTAGAAAATATCGTCTGTCTGCAAGAACTTGCACACGTGATCACAACACATGATCATATCGATACATTTAAATATAATATGAGATTTCTTAACCTCAATAGTCATCAACTTTGATGTATAATATCTTGGTTCGTGGGACAGAGAAACATTTTTTATCAAATATTTATTCTTACGCGAAAACGCATCTATTCAATGTATTTTTATTTATTTTAAGTTAAAGACTTAAGTTGTAGACGTAAATAACGCACAAGCTTTGGCGTATGATGTAGGATTTATTGCCGTCTCTTGGAGACGAAAGCTTATGCGTTATTTACGTCTATAATTTCAATCTAAGTAAGTATTACGACATTCTTGTGCTCAGACCCTAACGCTTGTAACGCCATATGCTGCCGCGCACTACTGAATCATTTCAGACACTAATCTCTTGTTATACGAAGATTCGCAAAAATTTTTACTTCGTTCTATCTAAAATTGTGATAAAAATTGATACGATGATTAATTATAACAATAGGAGAACCAGTATTCTTCTTAATATCATATGTTCATGTAATCTCGTACTTAATTTTCTTTTTGTCTGACCAACATAGTTCGCCTCACAATCGTTACAGGAAATCTTATAAACTACATTCTGATTAGATAGACTTAAATAAATTAGATTTTCTATCTATAAGTTGGATTTTATATTGTCTCCGAGCATCTTAGAGAAATGACTATATTTTCAATCTCATCGCATTGCCTAAGAATAGACGTTTATATTATATTGACACACGATTATATTCATTCTTATTTGATTTAGCTGCTACTAAATTTAATATATATAATTTATGACTGTACATCACACAATTCGTATTAATTCGTAATTTCAATTCGTATTAATGATTTTAATGTACATTTTTCATAATATTAAATTACTTTTTCATTATTTTTTTTTGCTTCTTAGTTTGTATTTCTGTTATTAGATTTGATTACTTATTTCTATTACATTTTTATATTATATTTGTACTTTTTAGCAGAAACAAGTATGTTTGTCTAAAATCTACATACACAATCTAGAGGAATACATGATTATCGATTATAACATTCTTATAACATTTATTACATATTGAGCGACATTGACAATTAGTACTGCGAAAGCGCATTATAATTTTTATATATTTTATTTATGTAATATTTCCACTGTTATTTTTGTTTACATTGATAATGATCCAACAGGGATCGAAACGTTGGGTGTTGTTTTTATTTATTAAAGTTTTATATTTTAATTATATGACATGTTTATTTATTAACGATTTCAAATTTTAATTTATAATGATTAATTTTAAGCTCATAGCCCTTTGTCTTTCTATTCTGTATATAATTTTGAGTTAACAAAATTTGAAAATGAATTTTCTGAACAACTTAATATTATTTAACAGATATTGAGAGTACAAATAAGTTTCCGCCGTTTTTTTTATCAAAAATTAATTTATTGTGAAAGAACATGTTTTATTCAAAGTAATAGCCATCTCTAGCCACTACTTTTTGTCATCTTTCCGATAGCATGTGAATACCGCGGAAGAACGCTTCATCTTTTGAGGCTATCCAATCATCGATACAATTTTTGGTATCTTCATATGATGTGAAGTACTGCTCAGACAGGCCATGCATCATCGATCGGAACAAGTGGTAATCGAAGGAGCAATGTCTGGAGAATACGGCGGGTAGGGTTCCCATTTGAGTTTTTAAGTAGTTTTAAGTAGTTTTTGACCGGCGCCGCAACATGTGGTCGAGCATTATAATGCAGGAGAATAATTTTGTCATGCCTGGAGTAGTGGGCGCTTTTTCTTGAATGCTCGGTTTAATCTCATCAATTATGTTCGGAAGAGAGCTTCAGTAATGGTCTCGTTCGGTTTGAGCAACTCATAATACGAATACACGATACCAAGCTGATCCCACCAAATATACAACATGAGTTTTTTTCCATGAATATTCGACTTGGTTGTCGATGTTGAAGCATGGCCAGATGGTCCTCATGATTTTCTCTTCTTTGGGTTATCGTAGTGGATCCATTTTTCATCACCAGTAACTATACGATGCAAAAACTCTTTCGTTTATGCCTGACAAGCAGTATTTCACATGTGAAAAATCGGCGTTCGATGTTTCTCGGCTTCAGTTCATATGGAACCCAATTCCTTTGCTTTTGAATCATTCCCAATGATTTCAAACGATATGAAATTGTTTGTTGAGTCACTCCTAATGTAAGTGCAAGTTCTTTTTGCGTTTGGCACGAATCTTCCAATAATGCTTCCAATTCCGCATCTTCATACACTTTCGGCCTTCCGCTACGTTCTTTGTCTTCGACGTCAAACCGTTCTTAAACTTTTGAAACTCACGACAACTTCTCTCACTTAAGGCAGCATCACCATACGTTTCTACAAGCAATCTATGAGCCTCAGCTACAGATTTCTTCAAATTAAAGAAGTAAATCAAAAGTTCCCGCAAATGACGCTTATTCGGCTCAAAATTCGACATTTTGATACAAAAAAAAATATATGATGCTATAAAATCGCTAATATTTCAAGGCTATGGTTGCTGAATGTCCAATCTTACGATATGTTGTTTTACATCAAACAATTTTAACTATAGTTTATTAGTGGCGCCGTCTTTTGCAAACGGCGGAAACTTATTTGTACAATAATTAATTGCGAAAGCATATTATATAAGTGCAATGGAAAGAAAAAAATGTTATGTGAGGTTTCGTTAGAAATGCTTTAAAAGCAGGATTCGGTAAAATAACTGATACGACTTTGAAATAAAAAATATAAAATAGGTCCCAAAAAACTTATTTAAAATATTAAATAAGGAATAGGGTCCGAAAATGCATTTATTTATTTAAAATAACTTATTTAGAATAACTATTATTTAAAATATAAAAATAACTTGTCATTTATTTTAAATAGGTTCTCGAAAGCTATTTCTTATTTTAAATAAAAAATAGATGCACGCTTGCGTGTGTGCGTGCGTATTCGTAATAATTTTTTTCGCAGAGATACGTAATGATTTTAACCTTTTTAAAGCTAATTCTAAATGATCTTTTAAGGCTTGATTTTAAGGTTTGACCTTTTCAAAGTTAATTCTTAATAACCTTCAAGATAAAATAACTCCGTCAAAAATGATCGTAACGAAATTTAAAAAAAAAACATTTTAAAGATTGAAATCTTTACTTTTGAAATCAGTAATTAGTATTTCAATCCGACTGATCCTTTATGGAGCTACGGACACAAATAGATACTCGTCAAATGTAAAAATTTTATACAAATTTTACAAGTGTTTATGTATGAAATAAAGATCACAAAAATGCGGTTTACAGCAATCGAAAGTGTGAACTTTTATCTTCAATTTGCTTGTTTATAAATCTTTATACGATTTTTTTTCATCGAATTATTCAACATTAAGCAAAAAAGGTCGTTTTTGCTTCAACTCCGTGAAAAAAATTGTACAGAGGTCTATAAAAACAAATTAAAGATAAAGATTCATTCTTTCGAAAGCTATGAACCCTATTTGTACGCAATTTTTAATTAGCGTCGTGGAAACTTCGCAAATTTGATAAACAAATTTTAAGAAATTCATGCATCTTCATTTATGTAACTTCATATAACATCAGTACGACTGTTTTTTAAAGTACCGATCTAGAAAGTAGAGATTTCAATCTATAAAAGGCTTTTTTAAACATTTCGCTACGATGATTTTTCACTGAGTTATTGCTATTTGAAAATATTAAAAATTTGTGAAAAAAATGGTCAGGTTTTTTTGGGTATGAGAAGTGCGTGCATGTGTGCGTGTGTGCGTGCGCGTGTGTGTTTATTAATGTATTTACATTAGACGTGATCCACCAAGAAAAATCATGAGGAAATTAAAAAGAAACAGTTTGTATAGGTAAAGTTCTATACTTTTATGTAAAAGTATCAAATGTTTTTAAAACGTACTTTTTACCAAGTTGCAGATTATTGAATGTAATTTTAAGTATCATATGTAACAATGTGATCTTTAAATACGAAATCGTAAACATAAAAATTTTTTCAAAAACATGTTACAGTACAAGCTTTAAAATTTTTTTTATTTTTGTTCTGCGTTGACTTTTTACTGAGTTTTGATGATTTGATATTTATGCAATTCTAAACGCTTTGAAAGTGTTCTCTGTTGAATATTTTACGTTACGCATTACTTGTGTAATATCGAAACTATTAAACAATTCTTAAGAATATCTGTAATAATATATTCGATACTGCATTACAAATATAAACACATTGTTATAAAATATAACTTAATATGGAAATATGTTTCAGTAAAATAATGTTTTACAATCTGATAGATCCGATATCAAATGTTCCCTTTTTGTTTATTAAATAATGTATCTGAAAATGATACGTAACCCAAAACGAAATAAACTATGTTCGCCATAATAAAATGTCAAATTAATTATATTTAAAATAAATATGATTTAATTTCTCTTCGTAACAAGAAAAGTTTTCGGTACATTTTATCTATTCTATCGA